AACCCACTGGAACCATCCGAGAGTCTTGTAGCTTTTGTTTCTCTGCAATTTTGCTTTCTGACAAAGCTCCTTCTCAAGCAAGTGCTTTTCTTAAGGCGCTCACAGTAGGGGTGGAATTAAACCAAGAATCGAATTTGCACGTGGCAGGGCAACTGCAGCAACAGAATGCTTGTCTTGGAAACGTGCTGGTTCCACCTGGGAAATGACTGCTGGATTGTTATGTCCACTTGCGGATTTTCTAAAACATGGTGTTAAAACACAAGCTACAGATGAAGCCATGTGGATCGGTACCCATGGGTCCAAGGAGAATCCCTTTCTACAAAGATTAGCTTGGTTGCCTTGACCCAGTTATGCCACTGTCTATGTGTGGATTAGAAATAGTTTTAGGGATTGGTGGAGGAATATTATCTCTTAACATCTGTCTGCTGCTGGTGGGCAGGTGGCTAAACGGCCCCTACCTTTTAACCCCTTTTTGGTTTGCTTTTAACTTGTAGGATTTAACCTTGGATGAGGAAACATTGAACTTTGTCCTGGGCATTGAGCTAAACAATAACCAAGATTCGAAGCAACTGGGGTTTTTTCTTAGAACTGCAGAATCCACTGTGCTCTTCAAAATTTTAAAAAGGAGAACACACATGGTATGCATTATGCATCATTTGACTTAGAATGTACGAAAAGAAGGAAGTCTTAAAGTAAGCTCTTCCTAAATGTTTTCTTCAAATTCATGATGTGGAAATGATAATTACAGATGAATGATACGTGTGGGTCATGCCTTTCCGGAGACCGTTTATAAGCAAATTAGGAATTCCTCTAAGAGAGTCTGTGTCCACAATCTTCATGCTCTTAAGGCTGCATTCAATTGGCCTGGACAGGAAGGTGTGTCGGTTGGTCAGATTTTTAAATACAGGATTTAATTAGTACATTTAGTATCCTAATGTGACATTAAAACTCAAACACTGATGTGGTCTGAAACCTGTTGAAAATGATGATATTATTGCACATGGTACGCAGGTATTGATATTCAACGCTGTACCCCACAAATACATATAGCCAATTATTTCTCAATTAAAAAAAAAAACCAAACACCTGAAATGCAAAAAAAGAAAAAAAAAAAAAACGACCATATTATGTGAAGAGTCTCTATCTTCTATTATTAATAATGGGATCATCAGTTAGAAATTAAATTTTCTCTGCTGCCTCAATTGGTTTTGAAAAGGAACAAAAATTGATGACAACTGTTATATAGAGCCCAGTTCAAATATTGCATGGAATTTTAATTCTGTTGGAAACACGAGGCTGGCTTTCTGGTATGGAAAATGGACTCGTAAATGCTGTGCCACAGAAGTGAATATTTACCAAAAAACAATGTCAGTCAGCCCTAGTTTTTCAACTATAGGGTTTAAAAAATACTTAGTAAAAGATTTAATCTGTGTTGGTTTTGTGAATAGTGAACGGTGCCTGCAGGCATCATATAGAAGCAAAACCAGCTGTTTTTAAACTTCTTGACTATAAAGTCCCGTCAGTCTTAAAAAATGAGGAGTCAAAAGAGCTTTCGTTTATGTGGGTTATACCAGTCAATAGTTTACCCTATTAGAAGTTAAAGCAGAATTTAAAGCATATTTAATAATTTATTTGAAAGTAAATATTTAAAAGTTTATTTACAAGTAACAAGCCAATTATATATTACTATCAAAAGCATGTATATGAGGGTACTTCAAAAAGTTCATTGAAAAAAATAGAACTAAAAGATAAGAGGAATCTTTCTATGAAATTTTTGCAGACCCCTCATGTGTATGTATATTTTATGTTCAATTGACAAGTAATACTTATATATATTTATGGGGTACAGTGTGATGTTTTGATATAAATTTGTATACACTGTGGAATAATTAAGCTAATATCCATCACCTCACGTATTTATCATTTGCGTGTGTGTGTGTGTGTGTGTGTGTGTGTGGTGAGAATATTTAAAATCTACTCTTAGCAATTTTGAAATATGCAACAAATTATTATTACCTTTATTTACCACACTTTAGTGCAATAGATTATTAACACTTATTCCTCCTTTCTGATTGAAACTTTGTACCCTTTGACCATATATAGTTTTTAAGCAACAAGAAACTAATACATTGTCCAGAACAACAAAATATTAGGGATAAGAGAAACCTTGCTAATTTAGGGTTTCGTCAGCCTCATTAGCAATCGGCTGAATGGGCGGCAGGTGCATTTGCTGGTCTGCTTCTGCATTCTTGCCTCTTACGATATATTGTTTTGATCAAATGGTTTGGAAAATCCAGCAGCCTCTCTCACAGGTGTGAAATTGGAAAAGGCAAGGCCTTGCAGGACCCCACTTGGGAGGGTCTTGGGGGATTGTTCCCAGGGGGTGCTAGGACCCTCTTTAAGAATGGTTTAGTGAGAGGCTACTGGGAAGAAACTTTCATTCACAACCCCTCACAGAAGCCAGCCCTGGACTGAATTGTGCAGACATAGGGCAGCAGCTCCACTGGCTGCAGTTCAGTGGGCTCCTGGGGGCCCCTAGATGCCGACAAAAGGTGGGATGCTGAGGAGGAAGCTCCTGCTTACAGGAGGAGGCGTCTCCACAAAGGTGTCACTTTGTTAGGGATTTCGGGATTGCTGCTTTGAGTACAAAATGTTGCTGCAGGTTCCAGACCTCTTTCAACCAAAAGTAATAATAATGATACTAATGATAATAGAATATAAGTTTGCTCCAGGTACCAGCACCTCTTTCAAACAAATAATAATAATAGAATATGAAAGTTTGCTCCAGATTCCTTTTTCAGCCTAATGATGATGATGATGATGATGATGATAATAATCATAATCATAATCATAATCATAATCATAATAATTGAATATGTTTGCTCCAGGTTCCAGAACCTCTTTCAGCCAAATAATAGTAATAATAATATATAAAAGTTCGCTGTACGTTCCAGAACCTCTTTTAGCCAAATAATGACGGTGATGACAGAGGTGTAGCAGGAAGATCTGACGGAGCCGTGTTGTGTTGTTGTTCAGGTAGGACCTGAAGGCTCCTATTCTGAAGCAAGGATGAGGCCTCCTGGGGTTCTTTTCAGTTTCCCTTGACTGTGTTTTCCACGTCCAGGTGCCTCGCCCTAACTCGGCTGCAGAAGGTGCAGCTTTGAGGTTTTCCCTCTTTCTGGAAGTCCCCACTGTTTTGGTCTCTCCCCACCTGAGCTGTTGAGGTTCATTCTCTCAGCCCCGGCCTTTGAATAAAGCAGGGCTCTGGGGTCTGTCACAGGAACCTCATTTGTCTGCCGAACCTTGGGGAAGCAGCTCCACAGCACTACAGGAATGCTGGATTAATTCAGCACATTGTGGTGTCTCCCTAAAAAAGCCACAGGCTGGCACCTTTTACAGAAAACAAGCATTGCAGGGTGTAACTGTTTCTGAGGATGTGAGGGGATTCTAAGACCTCCATCCATCACTGGGGGTGACATTAACACTCATAATACACTTTATAGTTTCACTCCTTGTATGAGTTTCCGGAGCTGCTGTTATAAATTAACACAGAACCAGCAGCTTAAAACAGCAGAAATGTATTCTCTCATAGTTATGGACACTAGAAGTCTGAGGTCCAGGTGTGGCAGGGCCGTGCTCCCTCCAGAGGCTCCAGGGGAGGGTCCTTCCTGCCTCTTCCAGCTCCTGGTGGCTCCAGGTGTCCCTGGGCTTGTGGCCACATCACTCCAGTCTCTGCCTCTGTCTTCATGTGCTTTCTCTTCTGTGTCTGTGTCTCCTCTTCTGTCTCTTATAAGGACACTGTCAATGGATTTAGGGCCCACCCCAATTCAGGACAGGCTCAGCTCAAGGTTTTTAACTAAAGATATCTGCAAAGACCCTATTTGCAAATGAATTCCCATTCCCAGGTACCTGGTGCACACATGTTTTTTTGGGTAAGGGCGTGATTGGACCCACTATAGTCATTATTGAGATTTGCCCAACTTGGCTCTGAACATATTCTTGAGACTCAGAAATGCCTGGATGGTGCAGTTTGTGATCTAACCTCTTGCATGCTGTAAGGGGATGGAAATCTTACAGTTGTACCTAGCACCTTTAAGAAAATGCACCTGCCCTTTTAAGTATCCTGGTTACAGAGGTGGCCCCTGAATGGCAGCTGGAAGGGACCGAATTTGTGGGCATTCAGGGAGGTGGTTTCTAGGTCACTAAAACCTTTAAGCCGAGTGTTTGTGCAGGTGCATTTCTACCCACAGGTAGAAGACTGCCTACAGTGGGCATTTTGAGAGGTTTCAGGGACCGAGGAACCCATGGATACTCAAACATGGTTACAGATCATAGATGTACTGGTGCTAAAATTAGAGCGGATGACATTTGATATAGCTTTAATCTTAAAGCATAAATTTTGAAAAATCAGAGTTCATGCCTCTTAGCTAAGTTAAAGACTGCGGTAACCACACCGAGATCCCGTTTTTTACTTCTTCGATGCATTTAACCAGCCTCCAGGTGCGTTGACAACAAGTCCTTGCACACAGCAAGCTATAAGGGGGGCGGGGGGCTGTGAACTGTGATGGTGGTCCACCTTAGTGCTTGCAGGACCATTCTATGCACGCAGCTTCCCCCAAAATGACCCACCCAACTCACCCATCCACTGGATGCTTGGCAAACAGCAGACGGTGACCAGCTGCAATGTGGAACGAGCTGTAAGGGACACCCCTTCAAAATCGCCACAGTTAAAAACAAAAATGTGTATTTTCCTCGATGCATTGGAATCGCTGCGTAGGACTAACCTGGAAGAGAGAGTGCGCTCTGTGTCAGACTCTCCCCTCTGCTTTGCAAAAGCGACACCCAGAGAAGGTCGGTCCCTCGGGTCGCAATGCCCTTTGATGGCAAGTGGAGCCACGTGGGCGTGTGCCCTCTCGCTTGCTCGCACCGCGTGGCGGGGCTCCCCTGCGCACCTGGCTCCCTTCTCACGCTCTGTTTGTCTCGCTGCTTCTTAGCAGGTCCCCACGCATGAGTGGACATGGAGCAGGCAGGCCCTGGCAGAGGAGCAATGGAGAACAAAGGCCTGGAAAGCTCCCAGACAGACCTGAAGTTAGTGGCCCACCCCCGCGCCAAGAGCAAGGTGTGGAAATACTTCGGCTTCGACACCAACGCAGAAGGATGCATCTTGCAGTGGAAAAAAATCTACTGTCGCATCTGCATGGCCCAGATCGCCTACTCTGGAAATACCTCCAACCTCTCCTACCACCTGGAGAAGAATCACCCCGAGGAATTCTGCGAGTTCGTCAAGAGCAACACCGAGCAGATGCGGGAAGCCTTCGCCACCGCCTTCTCCAAACTGAAGCCCGAGTCGTCCCAGCAGCAGGGGGCGCAGGACTCGATCACGGTGAAGGTGGGCCACGGAGGTGGCTTCGAGAGCAAGAGGCAGCAGGAGCTGACGGCTGCCGTCCTCGGCCTCATCTGCGAGGGGCTGTACCCGGCCTCCATCGTGGATGAGCCCACCTTCAAGGTGCTGCTGAAGACGGCCGACCCCAGGTACGAGCTCCCGAGCAGGAAGTACATCTCCACCAAGGCCATCCCTGAGAAATACGGAGCACTCCGGGAGGTGGTCCTGAAGGAGCTGGCCGATGCCTCGTGGTGTGGCATCTCCACGGACATGTGGAGGAGCGAGAACCAGAACCGGGCCTATGTGACCCTGTCCGTCCACTTCCTGGGTGTCAGCTCCCCCAACTGCCTGTTTGTGGGCTCCAGGTGCCTGAAGACATTCGAGGTGCCCGAGGAGAACACGGCGGAAACCATCACGCGGGTGCTGTATGAGGTCTTCATCGAATGGGGCATCAGTGCCAAGGTCTTTGGGGCCACCACCGACTACGGCAAGGACATTGTGAAGGCGTGCTCCTTGCTGGACATTGCCGTTCAGATGCCTTGCCTGGGACAGACCTTCAACGCTGGCATCCAGCAGGCCTTCCAGCTGCCCAAGCTGGGCGGGCTGCTTGCCCGGTGCCGCAAGCTGGTGGAATACTTCCAGCAGTCCACGGTGGCCATGTACATGTTGTATGAGAAACAGAAACAGCAGAACATGGCCCACTGCATGCTGGTGAGCAACCGCGTGTCCTGGTGGGGTAGCACGCTGGCCATGCTGCAGAGGCTCAAGGAGCAACAGTTTGTCATCGCTGGCGTCCTGGTGGAAGACAGCAACAACCATCACCTGATGCTGGAGGCCACCGAGTGGACCACCATCGAGGGGCTGGTGGACCTCCTGCAGCCCTTCAAGCAAGTGGCCGAGATGTTGTCCGCCTCCAAACACCCCACCATCAGCATGGTCAAGCCGCTTCTGCACATGCTGGTCAACACCACGCTCAACATCAAAGAGACCGACTCTAAGGAGATCAGCATGGCCAAAGAGGTCATCGCAAAGGAGCTCTCCAAGACCTACCAGGAGACGCCCGAGATCGACATGTTTCTGAACGTGGCCACCTTCCTGGACCCCCGCTACAAGAGGCTGCCCTTCCTGTCGGCCTTCGAGCGGCAGCAAGTAGAGAACCGCGTGGTGGAAGAAGCCAAAGGCCTCTTGGACAAGGTCAAGGATGGCAACTACAGAGCGGCCGAGGACAAGATGTACCCTTTGCCCGAAGAACCCCCCGTCAAAAAGCTTGTGCGGACGTCCACGCCTCCTCCCACCAGCGTGATCAATAACATGCTGGCTGAGATCTTCTGCCAGACGGGTGGCGTGGAAGACCAGGAGGAGTGGCACGCCCAGGTGGTGGAGGAACTGAGCAACTTCAAGTCCCAGAAGGTTCTGGGCCTCAACGAAGACCCCCTCAAGTGGTGGTCCGACCGCCTGGCACTGTTCCCCGTGCTGCCCAAGGTCCTGCAGAAGTACTGGTGCGTGACGGCCACCCGCATCTTCCCCGAGCGTCTCTTCGGCTCCTCGGCCAACGTGGTGAGCGCCAAGCGGAACCGGCTGGCCCCGGCACACGTGGACGAGCAGGTGTTTCTCTACGAGAACGCGCGGAGCGGGGCGGAGGCCGAGCCGGAGGATGAGGACGAGGGGGATTGGGGACTGGACCAGGAGCAGATGTTCCCTTTGGGCGATGGTGTCAACAGTGGCTTCTTCAGTATCAGGGATGGTGGCTTCCTGTAGGAGAAGGCGTCTTGTCTCAGGAGTGGCTGGGGACTTGGATGCTTTGCTGTAAATATGGATCTGGCCCGCGTGGTTTTGCACCTCAAAGACCATTTGTTGGTCTTTGAAAAACCAAGAGGGAAAAAAGAAAGAGATGGGACTTTGGTGGCCCGAATCGAGCAAAATGATTATTTTTCTTTGAGAATTGACCTTCCCTCCTCTGTCCCCTCATGCTCCAGAAAGGGAAAGAAACTCCCTCGATGAGCTCTGTGTGTAGGGCCCGCCTGGAAATTGCAAATACTAAACTCCCCAAGAGAAGTGGAGCTGGAAGGATGTCTTGCTTCACAGATGCAACCTGCCAGTCAATTTACATTCTCCCCGGGAGGGTTTTGAATCAATCCAAGAAAATTCCAGGCAGAAGAGAAATAGCCTTTCCCAAGGGCCATCCCTGTGACTTGAGTGATCGGAGGGTGAAAGGAATTCATGTTTACATTTTAACTTAAGCAGGAACCTGGACTCTGGGAAACTTGGAAGAGATTCTTTAGCCGAAATGCCCTTCTCCAAAAGAGACAAGTTTTAGGTTTGGTGAAAAGTGTTAAAAATGAGCATAAAACGTAGGCACTTATAAAAAAGCAAAAAAAAGGTGTTGAATGCATTCTATTTTCGAGGATGTTGGAGGCAATGAGTCTCCTTTCTCCTGCTTGCCAAAATTCACTTTGTAGATGCAGTTCCAAGCTGAGGAGCTCACAGGTCCTGAGGTTTCTTTTGTGTCTGATGCCTGAATGGTCCAGTTTTCCCGAGAATCATTTTTCTTGAGATGAGAGTAAGTCCCCCTTTTTTGGAGACGTGTTTTTTTAAACCTGCCAGGGCCAGCTTCTTCCCATACATAGAGGTTTTTAGATTTGATGACGGAACGGACTCTTGAATTCTCTTTTAAACTCAATACCATGTGGGCAATTAAAAAAAAAAAATTACCAGGGGATAGTTTTACCTTGGGAGGGGAGGGTCACTGATGGCTTTATGACGATTCAGGGAAAAAAGAAGATGCTTTCCAGCAGGTGAAACTACTTTTTTTTTTACCTAGGGAAAAATGATTGCACTGACTGCCTTTCTCCAAGAGGCTGACGTGGGAGGGTTCTGTGCGGCTTAGAAATAACCCATTTCAGCGATTGGCAGTATTCTGCTGGGACCCCAGCATGCCATCAGATTGCAGAGATTTAAGGAGGAAACACCCACGTTTTAATAGCTGTCGATGCCCCCTGCCTGTGAGCCGCACAGAACTTTATCTTTTTGTCCCCAGCCCTGTACGTTTTTAGAAAACAAAGTGTGGAAGAAATCCGCTTAACCCATTCTTTCTTTTTTAAGGAGAATAGTTCCTCCCCTGGTTCCAGACCCTCAGATCTGAGTGTTCTCAGAAGGACAGCGGGAGGCTAGGGCAGGGGTGAGTGGGGCAGGTTTGGGGAATTGCCCCCTTTGCTCTGTGGCTGGGTGCAGCAGATGCCTCTTTGAGCTCTATTTTGTAGCATTGCAAATGGTCCCTTCACGTTTCCTGAAACCGTTTGCTTTTTGTAACCTTTGTGAAAATGGGTTTTGCTCCAGTAACCTGCTTCTCTGTGTCTAATTTGTTTTTTTTTTTTTAAGTCATTGTTGCCAGTCCTCTTTGCATATTCTGTTTTCCTTATTTAATGCTTTACAATTTGACTCTTGTTCAATAAACCAGAGAAATAGCTCATAATTTATTTGTCTGTGGCGTGTCCATTTCGATCGCTCCTTTATTTATGTAAATGCTCCGAAAACGAGAGAGGTGTTTTGGTGGCGGGGTTTGAAGAGAACTCTCGCAGGCCACCAAAGGAAATTCTGTGCTCGGTTCTTGGGTCATTGGGTGCTCAACTTATGATGTACTTTTGTATTTTTTTTTTTTTTTTTTGCATTAAAGTAAGTGGATAAAGCCATCAGCTGCTGGCATGTTCTCTGGGAACAGGGCTGTTCACCATTTTCTTCATGGGATTATTTCTGCTTTGGACGTAGAGGGATGAGCCTGGACAGTTCGTGACAATTTCAGTGCTTTGCCCATTCCCTCCGGTTCCTTCATCTCTCCTCCCTTTCTGTCTCCTTTATTTCCCCTCTTTCTTTTTTTTTTTTCCTTTCCTCTTTTTTCCTCATTTTCCTTCCCCCCCCCTCCCCCCGTCCATCCCCCACTCCTTCCTTCCAAAAGCAAATAAGGAACCATCAGTGCCAATTTTCACTTTCTGCCTTTTGGGGACTGCCTGTTCTTGGGGCGTGCTTAATTTTCTGCACACACACCTATTGAATTTACCTGGGCCAATTTTCCATCGTGATAACCAAGCAGTTCCTTGGGGGTTTTCATTGAAGTGGAAGATGTTAACACTTGTTTTGTTTTTTTGCTTTTTTTTTTTTTTGGATTCCGGAGCATTACAGCCATTGAGAATTTCTCACAAAGAGACGTTTCCCTAATTGTGACATAGTTCTCTTATCTCCTTCTGCAGGGCACTCTGTTTCCTCAAAATTGTTTTGTTTTGGTTTTCTGCCTCCGCAGATGTGCCTCATTTTAACTATTTTAACTGAAGGGCCTGAGGAAGAAGGCTGAGGAAATAGCTTGAGGGAGAATGCTGCCGTTTTAAATAATGTATTTGGGAAAGGGGCAGGTGGCAGATAGGAGATTGTTGCGGTGTTTCTCAGGGATGCTGGCCACTTGCAAAGTCTGATTTGCTTGTGCAGAAGTGGGGGAAAAAGCAGAGAATGGAGGCTGAGTCTGACCTTTGCAAGCGGCTGTCCCTGGGAATCCTGGCCGGCAGCTCCCTGTGCAAATGCTCTGCCGTGAGTGCAGTCATTTCAGGTTCGCATCGACAGTGAATACTATTCACAGACCCCATACCTCCTCTGAGGGATGTAGGTTCTATTTCTTTCTGTGGCTCACCCAGGAGCTCTATTAGATCACGTAAAAACCCATGACACCTGCGCCTTGTTAACAACGTGACTTTTCATGTGACCTTCAGCAAACACCCAGAACAGCAGCGTTCGGCTTATTACTTGTAAGTGTTGTCTTATTCCATGGTTTCCTTTCTGAGCTCCTTTTGGGAGGCTTTCAGGGTTCAGTGCTTTGGGGAGATGAGACTCGATCCCAGTCACTGCTTGCTGTGGTTTTGCACTGGAAGGGGATGCACGAGGGCTTCCAGCAGCCTTGGCAGGAGTCAGCCAACTTTGTTAGTCAGAGGTCAGAGAGTAAATATTATTGGTTTTGCAGACTATCCGCTCTCCGTCTCTGCTGTTGTGTCCCAGAAGCAGCCATATAACATCCTCACACGAATGAGTTCCAATAAAACTTTATGGACACCAAATTCCATTTGTGAATATCTTGTAATTTTTGTGCCACAAAATGTCATCGGTGTTTTGACTTTTTCCCCTGACCATTTAGAAATGCAGAAAAATATAAACAACATTCTTAGCTCATGGTTCTTATAAAAAATAAGGATAGACTGTCCGGTGTTTGTTGAAACTGGTTACTGGGAGGTTTTCTGCCATTTTTTTTTTTTTTTTTTCTTTCTAGAGTCACTGATCAGAATCAACTCTGCCATCTTGGTTTGAGAAAAAAGTGCCTGTGTGTCTAACACAGGGGTTATTTGTGTTTCCAGATGTAAGGCATGTGGAGTTCTTATACTGCAGTAATCCATGCTTATGTTTTCACAATATGGTCTGGGGGCTTTAGTGTCTTCTCAGAATTGCTTATAAAAAACTGGCCATCATTGAGCAAAAGTCGTCCTGACACTGATAGGACTTCAGTTGGGTTCCGTGATCCCTGATTTATCTGAGCTTCCAGGCTGTGCGTTTTCTGAAAACGTTATGTCCTGGGGACAGGGAAGCTTTTCTATTTTAATTTTCGGTAGCAATGCTGAAATGTCTTAGATGGCCAGCCCATCCGTGGGTACAGGTGTTTTGAGGCAGAACATATGTTTCCCTTTTTCAAACTTGGGCTCTGACTTGCTGGTGTCAGACACTGAGTTCTGGTGAGTTCTTAACCTTGTGGTCTTGGAGGTAACTCTTTTCTTCTTACTCTATTTGTGTTAAACTCTGAAAAAGCAGAAAACCCTGAGAGTGTTATCAAATAGTCAGTGATTGTAGGATTTCCAAAATTTAAATCACTTCCAGAACTGGAACCACAAGCTAAGAATGGTGTTTAAGGTTATATAGGTTTTTTTTTTTAAAAAAGTTTTAATTCTATTTTTTAACTTTATTATTTTTTAAGCTGAAGTTTTGTTCTGTTTTCATGGATCCATCATAATTGTGCATATTTATGGGGCACAATGTAAGGTATTCATACATGCATAGATTGTGTAATGATCAAATCAGGGTAATTAGTATATTTGTCACCTCACACAGTTATCATTTCTGTGTGGTGAGAACATTCAAAATTCTCTCTTCTAGCTATTTTGAAACATATGATACATGACTGTTGACGATAGCTGCTCTGCTGTGTAAACAGAATATGCCAGGGCTGTTTCCTCTTAACTGTAACTTACAACTGATTTTTAAGATTAATTAACTTTTTAAATTGATACATAATAATGGTACATATTTATGGGGCACAGTATGATAGGTCAGTACATGTATGTAATGAGTCATGGTCAAATCTGGGTAATTAGCAAGTCCATCAACTCAAACATTTATCACTTCTTTGTGTTGGGAACATTCAAAATCCTCCCTTCTAGCTGTTTGGAAATACATAATACATTGTCTTTAACTGTAGTTACCCATCAGCACTATTTGTTTTTATTCTAACTGGTTGGGAAACAAATCGAAGGAACAATTGCAGTTCACGACACAAAAATGATATGAAATTGCCATGTGAAACTCAGTGTCCCCTCAAGATGTCCCGTGTCTTCTGGCCAGGCTACTTTCTGAGGTCCTGAGAACCCATCCCACATTCCCTTTCACACCCACTCAGGAACGTGGACATGCCACGGGGTCTTTTAAATGAGATGCTGCTGATCTGAGCCGCCTCCCAGTCGGGGTCTGTCCTGCTGAGTAATAAAAAGGGGTAGAAAATTTCAGCACTCGGTGAGATAACCCCATACGGTCGTCTGGAGAGTTTATTTCCTTTGGTTCAGGGTGGAGTTTGGATGCATCTTGGGCACTTGGATGGAATTCTTTTCCTGGGGAACTTGCAGCTCCTTGGGTTGCAGTTGGGTGAACTGTGCTGCATTCAGAGAAGACAACGTTGAAGGTTCTGCAGCTGTCCTCGTGATGAGGACTTGTCTTTCACTCTGCCGGGAAGTGCAAGCCATTTAAAAATATATATTTTTAATTGACGTGTAATAATTGTATTACAGTTATAATAATTGTGTGTGATACAAGTGATGTTTGATATGTGTCTACATTGTGAGGTGGTTAAATCAGGCTAATTAACATATGCATCCCCTAACCCTACTAATTGTTCTTTTGTGCTGAGAACACTTACTCCTCAGCAATTTTCAAGTGTGTGATACATTGTGATTAATTGTAGATCTCTGGAACTATTCCTCCTGTCCCACTGAGACTTTGTGTCCTTTGCCCAACATCTCTCCATCCCCCCTCCTCCAGCCGCTGGTAATCACCATTCTCTCTGTTTCTATGAATTCCATTTATTTAGATTCCACATAGAAGTGAGATCATGTCCTGTTTGTCTTTCTGTACCTGGCTTATTTCACTTAATATAATGACCTCCAGGCTCATGCATGTTGTCACAAATGGCAGGATTTCCTCTCTTTTTTTCTGGCTGTATAGTACTCCATTGTGTGTATATATACCACATTTTCTTTATCCATTCATCTGTTGATGGGCGCATAGGTTGATTCAACGTCTTGACTATTGTGAATACAGCTGCAATGAACGTGGGAGTGCAGGTGTCTCTTCGAGATCCTGACTTCATTTCCTTCACATGTACACCTGGTAGTGGGATTCCCGGATCATGCAAGCCTTTCTTTGGGAAAGACCCATATCTGGGCCTTCCCTAGGTCTTATTCAGCTTCTATGTGGTAGCGGCCCCTTGGCCAGATTCTCCTGATCATTGTAGTCCATTTCTTCATGTTCCTCTAGAAGGGGCAGGATGACAGGAGAGAAACCCTGCAACTTGGCCTGCTCCACACCATGGCCCAAGCTGGCATGAGCTTGCATTGGCACCCCCCCCCATGGGCACCCTGCGTTCTTGGTCCACCTGGTTATGCCAGATAAACTTCTTTTTCTACCTGTTACAAATGAGTCACTGGTCTTATGTGCCGGGCTGGACATGGTCTCTATTACATCTCAGCCTCTTGTTTCTAGAGATACCCAATGGCAAAGTGACTCTACTGTCCACAGATGAGCCATTTCCCAGTGCTGGTGAGAACACTGTCTGCACCTTCATCCCAGCTGAGAACATCCCAGTAGAACAAACCATGGTGGAGATTTCCAGTTGATGCTGAGTCATGATCCTGTCTCACATGGTGGAAGGGGCAAGGTAGCTCTCTGGGGTCTCTTTTATAAGGACACTAATCACATTCATAAGGCTCCACCCTCATGACCTCATCACGTCCCAAAGGCCCCTCCTCCTAACACCATCACCTTGGGGTTTAGGTTTCAATGTAGGAATTTTGGAAATGACATACACATTTAGACTGTACCAAATAACATTTTTTAAAACAAATACAGTGGAAGTTAAGCTTTTTAGTTTGATAAATTTCCAAAGGATGGGTAAAGAAA